CTAAGAGCATCAGCGTATGTTTTGGAGCTGATCCCCAAATGTGGGAACAGTATTCTAGAACAGGCCGTATCTGCGCTTTCTAGATCATGAGAAGCTGTTGAGGTGTAAAGTAGCTTTTCGCACGGAACAAGAATCCGAGTTTTTGTGAAGCAGCTTTTGCGATGGATCTGACATGATTATCCCATGAAAGAGTGTTGCTGATGGAAATACCGAGCATAGATATGGTGGGCTTGGTGGGGATGGTGGAGCCAGACATTACAATATCGGGCATACTGAGTTCGGCCTTTCTAGAGAAAATGCAGGCTTGAGTTTTGGTGGCGTTGAATTCAACTAGGTTGTTTGTTCCCCAGGCTGTGATTTCAGCAAGATCTTCATTGACAGCATTGACCTGCCTGCGCCGTGAGTTCTCAGTTTCCTGGGAAGAAATGGGAATTCTGGAAGAGAACGCAGTATGGAGGGTACTATCATCTGCAAAGATGTGGATGGGGCAAGTTGTTACTCCCAACAGATCATTGATATGAAGCAGGAATAATGTTGGTGCCAAAATTGATCCTTGTGGAACGCCGGAATTGATGCCAATGGTATCAGACGATACACCGTCCACCACCACGTGAAGCGATCTGCCTGAAAGAAAACTCGATAAGAGATGGCATAGCTGAGGTGGTAAGCCGTATGATGGTAGTTTGTGGAGGAGTCCTTCGTGCTAAACACGGTCGAATGCTTTCGATATGTCCAACGCGACAGCTAGAGATTCCCCGTGTTTTTCTATTGAAGATTGCCATAAATGGGTGACGTAGGCAAGTAGATCTTCGGTGGCGAAAGCCGTATTGTCTATCATTGATGATTCCTGAGCTCTCCAGATATTTGATAAGCTCAATATTGATGGTTTTCTCCATCACTTTGGATATTACTGATAACAGGGCAATGGGCCTGTAGTTGTTGGGCAGGTTCTTGTTCCCTTTTTTGGGGATTGGTTGGACTCTAGCTGTCTTCCAGCATGATGGAAAAATACCCGACCTGTACGAGATGGTAAACAACTTGCAGAGAATCGGTGTTAATTCTGGTGCACATTTTTTCAGAGTCAAAGCATACTCTATGCCAAGGAAACTCGGAGAAAAACATGCGGAGAACGTCCCAATCTCCTGGATTGTAATGCCATATAAGACGTGGGGGTGCCGGAGCAGTTGATGGAATGAAAAATGGGCAGGTTGTGGAGATGAGTGAGTGGTCAGAATGGCCAAGTGGAGCTCGTACATCTATGGTGTAGGGTGCTGAATTATTAGTGAGGAATAAGTCAAGTATGTTAGCTGAATGGTTATTGGCATCGTGAATTCGTGTGGGTTCTTTGATAAGCCTAAGCCGTGAGTGATGGCGAAAGCTTCGGCTTGTCGCCCAGCTTCATCCGTTCTGTTAGAGTGTACGAGCCAAGCAGTGTTGTGTACATTGAAATCGCCCATGATGATGATTTCTGCTGCTGGATGGTTCTGTTGAATTTGGTCAAGCTTCAGAGACAAGAATTCGAAGAGCTCTTCATAGGATGGATCATTTGGTGATAAGTAGAGACAACAAAGGTATTTGGTCTTTTTTCTGGCTATCGAGTTTGAACCACATGAAATCAAACTTATTTGGTTATAAAGTTTTTTCTCGTTGACATGAGAGATTCGTTTTAAAGTAGAGGCAGAGACCTCCCTTGAATCTGAAACGTGTGTGGAGTTCGTGACCAGGACAGAGCAGATAGGTCGTATTGGTGGATGAATTGACCTGTGTCTTAGTAAGAGCCAATATGTCTGGCTTTTCAATTTGAAGGTGTCGATGGACATCGTTGATGTTCTTACTTGGACCTCGGATGTTACATAGGTCTATCTTGAGGACTTTTTCAGCCGATGGTGAACGCCCTCTAGCACCTCTCGCCCGGAAATCCGAATGGAGAGGTATTTTACTTCCGGATAATTTTACTTGAGGAGAACTCATCATCGCGTATTCTATCTCGCGAATAGATGTGCAACTCGGCTCCTTTCGTTTGATGTTTGGACTCGCTGCTATGATTATCTCGGACCTTCAAATTGGTACAAACAGTTGCCAATTTGTTGAATAATTCCGTGGATACAGTGTTGACTTTTCATGAGAACCTAAATTATGACCATTTGCAATGTTGTCAGTTTGTGAAAAAAATCATGAATACAATGTTGCATTCTTCTAAGATGAAACCAATCCTTTTCAATTACCGATTTGAGATACCTGGGAGAGTTGGGGAGCAACAAAGGCGACTCCTGGCATCAATTTGATATACTTATGACTATAGAGAAAAATATAAATGGCGTTCAATTCTGATTCAAAAGCTCCAATGAATGAGTTGTAACCTCATTTTTCTATTTTCTTGAAAATCCTATACAAAAAAGTGGCATATTATCATATCTGGAGTCTCAAAAGTACCATTGCTGTTCGGAAATCTATGTAACTTAATTGGTTCCATCCCACTAGAGCGTGGGTGTTCTGGCACAGTTTTTGTGGACACAACGATTCAAGACAAACTTTGATTGAATCAAAATTTTAGTTCAAATAATAATTACTACAAATTATCACCAACGAACAATTATAAAACTAAAAGGCGACACCTCGACGATAAGCATATGCATATTCACGCGCAGTGCTTTTTGTCTGCGGCCATATTGTACTGTGAATGGCTGTTAACAGTGATTACAAGTCAGCAACCAATTATAATTGGGTATGCGTGAAACGCGAAAGTTCAGTTGACGACTTGTGTACCAAGCAAAGGTATAATAAATGAATATAAATGACACATAAAAATAAACACTGTATTATTTTGAACACAATGATATTGGGTTGCCTTCAAAAAGTATGTCCTGAATGAGGGTTGTCGAATTTTTTGAAAATAAATTTTAGTGCCACTGTGAACGTGCGACGTGCGAAGATGTCCGAGACAAATATCCCGTGCGATAGACGAAGACAGATCTCTTTTACAAAAATAGTCGAGATCACCAACGTAGCATTTTGCGCACTAGATACAAAAGTGACTACTTCAATTACGAAAAAATAACACGTGTTGTCAATATCAATACAATATTTAAGGTTATTAACTGCTTCAATCATTTTCTATTGCATGAACTACTAGCATGCGCACTCTCTCACATCGTGTGGTCGCGCTGCCCGCCACTTCAAATGTAATTTTGTCGCATTTTTTATGGAAGCACCCCCGTATCTCACGTAATTATTGAGGTAGGGTTCTGAAATTTGCCGGAGGAAGAGAACTTCCAAAGATAAAGTCAATTGCGTGAGATACGGGGGTGCTTCCATAAAAAATGCGACAAAATTTTATTTTTCCGAACTGAAAATTTTCCAGGAAAAATTTGAATAGTTAGTAAATTGGGCGTCCTGATTCCAAATCTGAAGTGAATTTCGACCTATTTTGACTCCTAATATCATTTTCCGGAAATTGGGGTAGTTTCATGGCCGTTGGCGAGCAGTGTATATCACTGAAGATTACCCCACTTGGTCATAGAGTGCATTTTTGGTATATCTCTCGCTCCAGCAAATTTCAGGATCCTTACCCAACGATTACGTAAGATACATGGGTGGTTCCATTAGAAGTGGGCTACACCGTAGATGGTTCTGGAAAAAAGGGTGATTTTTGAATTTTTAATTGATTACGTCGTGGCCTGGATTTTTTCAGACAACCCATTTTTTCAATAATGTTTAACATACTAAATTACTCATAAAATAATGCTAATCCATTGAGCGAGATTCACCCACGCCATGTTATGTTTATCGAAGTAGACGAAAATCAAGGAATTGTAAAACAGGAAAGGATTGAAGTGCGTACACCAGAGGTTTATGTCATCAATCTTTATAACATAACAAGTGACGTAACTCGGCAACAAAATCATCTGAAATTACCTTTACCATCGATTACCCTGATCAAAGACTCGGTTATATACAGGGTGTTTCAAAATTCAGTATCAAGATTTTAGGGGCGTATTTTTCAGGTCAAAATAAGACGTTTTTGTCCATAAACATGTGTCCGCAAACGCTTCGTTACCGATCTACAGAGCGTTAAAGTTAAACAAATACACGATGAGACATCCACCCCACCAACTTTCAAATAATGTCAAATGCTTCAAAACAAACCTAAACGTCAAAATGAAAATAGCAGTCAAAGCCCACTGATTCGCTTTTTCATTGTTCCGTTGAAAATTTTAATTAAATGTAGCGAATCACATAAATTGATTTTACTTTTTTCTCGATAACGATCGCAGATGCGTGAAAATTACAAGAGACAAAAAAATTTATAAACAAAACAAAGAATTCATTTCGTATCTCAGAATTCACCAGCGGCGCACCACAAAAAAGTTTATGGGGTAAAAAAGGGCTTGACTCCTGAAAAAAATATCTCCCTGTAGATTCTCACAATCACTCGGCATGCTGGATGATGTAAGCCCTAGAACGTAACCTACATTCCAAATTTGATCTTAATATCTCAAAAATTGAAAGAGCTATGAAGAAAAAAATAAAAAAATCTTGAAACTTTAACGCTCTGTAGATCGGTAACGAAGCGTTTGCGGACACATGTTTATGGACAAAAACGTCTTATTTTGACCTGAAAAATACGCCCCTAAAATCTTGATACTGAATTTTGAAACACCCTGTATAATGGACTGAAGATGTATAACCACCTACCTACCTACGTAAAGGACATTAAAGATCATAAAATATTCAGGAAGAGTCTTAAACAGCTATTTGCTGAAAAGGCTTACTATGAATTAAAGGAATATTATAGTGATGTGTTTTAGTATTCATCTTAGAAATGTAAATCGTTATACCACATGATGATCCTTCTCATGCCATATTTTATCTTTCACATTGTTTTAAATTTCTATTATTGTATGTTACGTACTTATGTTTTATCTTCTCTTTGTCTACAAGAGCTTTTTCTTCTGACAATAAAGAATATTCTGATTCTGATTCTATATTTTCCTGTGCAGCTGGTACAGCCAGTTGGAAGGCACGCGATGGCTGTCGAACATGTCGGGGCTGATGAAGGCGGCTGTGACGTTGGTGGCCGCTGTGGATAGGGACGCTCGGCCGGTGCTGGTGCACTGCTCCGACGGCTGGGACCGGACGCCGCAGATAGTGGCGCTGGCCGAATTGCTGCTCGATCCGTACTATAGAACTGTAGAGGTGGGTGGGATCTCAGAGTGAAACACTATAGAGACCTGTTCGTTTGTCATGCTCACCATGCTAAAAAGCAATGAACTTAATATAAACGAGTGAGGCAAAAATATTGTTCAGGCAACCCGCAGTGGTTACGGATACCTATCTCTTTCTATCTTATGTTGGCTAATGGGAAGCGCTCGCAATATTTGAAATATTTTCTTGTTCTTTGCTTTTATTTAATAGTATACATGATCAAATATATCATTTAGGAAAAAGGATAATTTTGCAATTAGATAGATAGATCTTTATTGAAATAGGATATCCTTGTATACAAACAAGCTAGAAAATATAAAGTAAAATAGGTATGTGGTACATATTGAAATGATTTAAAATATATGACAAACATTTGATGAATACATTATAAAGTTTTCCGTCGACTTCGTATTAACGACTAAGGTTAATGTATATGAAATCGTTCATTAATGACCCCTATTAATGAACGATTTGTCTATTAATGCAAGATTGTTTTATAGGCAACCAAACATACACCGCGTGCATTCGTTGTTTATGCTATAACTTACGGAATCTGCATATGGATTTCCTCGAAGATTTTCCGTTAACGGGTTCGCCTTTCCAAGTTTCTGACACGAATTTAATCCCTGTTTTCTAACACAGGGAATTTATTTTCTATGTTGATCATTTCGACAAATGTCAAATGTCACTAATGTCAGTAACAAGGCTACTGGGTGATTCTTAGCAGTTTCCGGATGAATGATGAATTCGCGAACCAAGTTTTCTTCATTGCAGGAGAAATGAGAAATATAGTCGACGGAAAAATTTTGTAACCAACTTGTATATTAAAAGGCTATTAATGATCTCGAACATTAACGCGCTCGCTTCGCTCGCACGTTAAAATATCTCGATCATTAATCGCCCTCATTAATACACTAGCTGGTTAAATAACTATAGTTGAACACAAGCATAATAATATCTCAAAACAAAAATTTTAGCTACACGTAACAAACATAATAAATATCATATATGTACATTAGACAGAAATTTCTTCAGTTCGTTTGTGAAAATGTTCAAAGATGGGCTATTTTTAATTGCATTTGGTAATCTGTTGAATTGATCAAAACCCTTGAAAAATAAAGAGATCATAGTGCTTTTGTGATTTGTTCTATTTATATATAAATTATTATTATTTCTTGTGAAGTGGTGGTGAATATCATGATGAAAGACAATGTACTGTTTGAAATAAGATGGTCCTAAATTGTTTAATATTTCATATATGAATATTATTGTGTAATAAAACAGTCTTTGAGAAACATATTGCCAATTCCAAACATCAAGCATAATAGTAATTGGAGTATCTCTACCGACTTCAAAATGATCCTCATACTATTATTCTGAGGTTTTTGGAGTTGAGACAATTTATTCTGATTGAATAGATATAGGAAAGATGAACAGTAGTAAAAGTGTGGTTGAACAATTGACTTGTAAACTGTGATTCTTGACTCTGATGAAAGAAAATTGGAAATTCTGGAGAAAAAGAATAATTACTTTCAAATGTTCTTATGAATATACTCAAAATGTTCATCAAACGATAAAGTGTTATCTACCTGAAATCCCAGATATTTAGTTGTTTCAACTACTTCAATTCTTTCATTATCATGTTTGGAATGACAACATCACAGAAATGATTTTGATTGGCATATACGAAAACTTTTTGGAATCTAAAAAAATACTGAAATAAAATCTTTTTTGAAATACTTTGAGGAACTAGGAAAGGCGTCTACTCTTTAGTCACAATATTGTGTCACAATATGTGGCATAGTGTCACAGTATAAAATGAATACCAATACGTTACATTACTTGGATTCTTTGGATAAGTGCAGTTGTAGAAAAAGTATAGTGTGCAACATGTGGGGAAAAGTACTTTCCTCACTCGTGTGTTTGCATCACTCGCCCTTCAGGCTCGTGCCACAAACTTTCACACTCGTGAGAAATGTTGAACTTTCCCCACTTGTTGTACAATATACTATTCCACCAAAACTATAGTTTTTTTCGAAAAATCGATTCTACGATCATGAAATTTGTATCCGATTGGATTTGCCACCTATGTGTATATATATATTTATAACTCTCGAAGGAACTTCGACTCAATTGGCGATATTGAAAAAGCTCCCCAGCTAGGGCGAACTGAACATCGACAAGATTAGGTGTTGCTGTTTATTTCTTGTAACCAAATATCGCACCCCTGCAACGAAAGTGTCACAACTCAAAAAACGCGGACTTCAAGATTTGTATGGGATTGAGTAGAAAATTGTCTGAATTTCAATCTCTAAAAGTGTCACAATTGTAGTTCCAATAGTTTTTACGAGATAGCGCTAGTGTCACTATTTCATCATTCCAAATTCCCTATGCATGAATTCTAATAACTGTATGTATTCGAATTATGTCACTATTGTTATAACGGTAAGTTGGTCTTATTCTGAAAATCAATCGCATATTTCGAGTTGAGTCAGTTTTATTGAATTCAATATAAATTTTCATGGTTCATTTTGACTTGTGACAGTGTTGAAAAACATCATGTGATTTTTTTGAGGTAGTATTTCTTGTTATGACGGTTGCTTTCAAGCAAAGTTTTTTGGCAAATACCCCCCATTTTGCGAGCGAGTTTGGCGTGGAGCTATATTCCGGGTCACAGTGGGGTGCCTGGAAACGGAACAGCAGATGAACTTGCTAGGGCCGGATCCGCGGAGCCGTTTCTGGGACCGGAGCCTGTACTAGGTATAGCAAGGAGCCAAACTACGTCAGCCCTTGATGAATGGGCAGACAAGGCACTAGGAGAATACTGAAAGAATATCACAGGTTGCAGGCACTGGCTGCTTGGCACAGACCGCCAAGTACTCCGCCTCCTCATAGGAGTACTCACAGGACATAACAGGCTAGGCAGACACCTAACACTTATGGGAATAGAGGACAACCCCATTTGCCGCATATGTGGGGAAGACGAAGAAACGTCACTCCATTTTCTCGGCGAGTGCGAGGCGTACGGGAGGCTGAGATTTGAAATCTTCGGAGTGGACAAACTCCAACAGGAGGAGTTGATCATATTAGAGTGGACGGACATACTGGCCTTCATCAGAAGGTCAGGGAGATTCGTAAAAGAAATCTAGGTGAAGGAAGCGTAGATATGTGGAGAGCAGGGGTTAGCAAAAAGGGCCCATCGAGGCCTACTTGACAGCCTCCCCACCGACTACTACTACTACTATATTCCGCTAGGCTGGTCAACAGCAAGAGCACAAACCAATATTATTTGTGTAAGCTCATAACGACGCCACTGCTACCACCTCAACTACGCTACGCTGAAATGAAAATAATGAATATCGTGAAATATTGCGGAGAAAGGCTGCTTCGCCAATTGCTCAAGAGTTCCCATCTTTACAACCGCTCTTGATGAATACACTCACCGGCAAAAAAACTGGCCACCAAAAAACTTTGTTTGTTCGCCCTGTAACTTCTTTTGTTCTTCTCGGATTTTGGTGAAATTTCGACCAAATCTTAGATTCATGTTCCGAGATGTTAACCTGAGTATAAATTCCCAAGAAAATGATGATGGCTTGATCATTATACAAGGAGAAACGAAAGTTACTTATTCACCCTTAACTTCTTAGCGCCTTGTGGCAAAACTGAGTGGTCGAACTTACGTTCTGGATTGAACGGTGTTCCTTTCTCATCACAATAGTTTTTGATTCACGTCGATATCTCATTTTTTAGAAATGATAGAAGGTTTTAAGAAAGTATAGAGTATTTCTAGTTTCATTAACAAAAATACCACCGCACGTCTTTTGATCCCCCTGTATAGGCGATTGATGATCTGGAACATCAACTAAAATATCTCGATTAATAATTGCACTCATAAGTACACTAGTTGGATAAATAACTATCATTATCTTGAAGAATTAGAATTACCTGAGCAGTAAAAGTGATATTTAATGTTAATAACCATCATACATTTGTGTTCTCATAGTCTAGAATGATCTGAAGAGATTAGAAACATCACATGACTTTAATTTGTCTTTCAGGGTTTTAGAATTCTGATTGAACGGGAATGGTTGGCTTTTGGTCACAAATTCGCAGATCGTTGCGGTCACTCATCAGGTAGCGATGATCAAAATGAAAGATGTCCAGTCTTTCTGCAGTGGCTGGATTGTGTACACCAACTACTCATCCAGTTTCCGTGTGGATTTGAATTTTCGCAAATTTATTTGGTATGTGTCCCTAATACAGTTTTTGTGTTGGTAAATTTCCCTAAATAAATTTCATTTATGAAGAGAAAAATCTGAATTCCAAACAGAAAAAATGTGCAAACTCTCGAATTAGCGTTAAAGAACATGACTGGATTTTAATGCTGAAGATGTTGGATGGGTTGCTTTGGTTATAATTTGTTTATGTTCAATAATTTATGCTCTTTTTATGCTTCGGGAAATAGCACTCTGTTATCTTCTCATAATTCTCTCATCAGCAATATTTTTTCGTTCTAACTAAATCAAATGAATCAATTGATCAATGTGAAACTGAACTTGTTGAACTGAATTTCTGTTTCATTGATCCAGTTGTCAGTTCGTCCACTTCATCAAAGATGTTTTGGTGATGAAACTCAATTTACTATTCAAAAATTACAATATTTCATTCAGGAACAAATGAGAGACAAACAGCACTAACAGAACTTGACAACTGAACAATGTAATCGGAGAAAATCTCGATTCTTGCAGTTCACTTAGATTCACCACCAAGCGTTAGGTGGGGGAAATAACTGTAAATCCAAAGAATGCATCTCAACTGATTCAGTTAAGTTCCCAGTGAAATATTCAAGTTCGTTTAGATTTTATAACGACAGGATATCTGTATTTTGACTGAATTGTGTTGCTGTACATTAATTCCACAATTTGGTGAACAATAGGAACAGAATTATCTTGAAAAATCAGAACATTGTGATATTGCTGTGTGTGAAATATAATTTATAGTGAATCCCATTGGTAAAACTAGCCCTCACTGAGTGCATATTTTGTATTCCATTGTTAAAACTGATGTCGGGTTTTGAATTCTATTGAAAAACTGGTTCACATAGTTTAGAGCTCAGTGCAACAATTCTCGCACGAGCTCTAATAGGTCGTGCAAAGTCAGTGCAATTTTGAAAATGGTGGAAACATTGAATATGAATAGTTTGAAAACCATATTGTCAGTGGCAATATGAGCATCTCATCAAATAGTGATGAAAAGTTAGAGGTTTCAAGGAAATTAAGAAGATTACTTCCCAGAATCCATAATTTTGTTGAAAGTATTTTGCAAATTCCATGATTTTTTTTTTTATTTATTTATTTCAGTTCTTGCATTACATTTTTTTCTTCATTGATACATTTCATACAAATAATATATAAAGTATAATTAATTTTCTAGTAGGAATGACATGAATGATCAGACAGTAATTCCTGGTATAAGATCATTCATGAAGTATTATCGACTGTTGTATAATTGAAATTACAAATAGTGAACAAAACTCACATATCATTAAGATGTCCTTGTTGAAAGAAGTGTTCAAAATTATTTCCATGAAATATCTACTTTGTTTTCAATTTAAGTTAATTAATTAATTATCGAAGACAAACCAACTTATCCGATTCAACCTCTAACAATGATTTTATTATAAATTATTTCGTATTCATTGGGAATGCACCAGTTCACATTTTGGAGAGAACTAACGTAGTGCGGGTGCAAAACTGGTACAAAACCAGTGCACCTCCAGTTTTACAAATATAATTCTCACATTGTTGTTCATCATATTATAAAAATCGTTTCTTTTTTTCATAGGTTAAATTAGTGCAGCATACATATTCCAATTTGTTTGGAACTTTCCTATGCAACACTCAGAAGGAGAGATCGAAAATTGTTGATGGGAAGACTTTTTCTGTATGGGACTTTTTGGGTTCTCCTTGTTTCAGAAATCATCTGTATTCCGCTAGTACAAACAAAAAAGTGAGTGGCTTCCATCTTATTAATTTAAGAAATTCGTAGTTTAACCAAATGAAAGGGAAAACACATTATATCCCCATAATTGGAACACATATTGTTAGAAAAACAAACTAGGTAATGCACTTGAGACGATCCAGCCTGAATGACTATTAAACAAATAATTCAATGAGAAATATAAATTTCGATTGAATAGATGTTTATGTTGAACATGTCTCACTGAAAATGAAATATTGTCATTGTCTAACAATGATTTAACAATATAATATTATACTTTACTAGATCCGCCTGTTAACGATTATGATTTTTGTTTCGGGTTCACAAACGTTAAACTTTTGAATTGTAATTCATAATGACATAATTATGATATTTCATGAATAACTACATCCTATCTGATGTTATTGCTTCCTGTAGCATATTTTTACTACCAAACATCAATAAAAAATAAGGTTTTATTTTAAAAGTTCATTGCTTACCAAATATACATCTTTTCCCGATAAAGTTCTTGCGAGAAGAGGGACGAGTCCAAGAGAATGGAGGCGAAACATACCCCGTAGGAGACTATGTTCTTTTATCGATGTGCACATAACTGCCTCCTGCGAAGCTAGCTACTAACCTTCATTCACATAACAGAAAACACAAACACAACACTTCAGTCAAATGTCAGCCAACGAGCCTCATAGGCGTAGTATAATTATTATTTTGATATATTATTTATCTATAACACGCCATAGCCTTATAATCCTGTAAAAAACATTGGAATTCACGCGAGAAAGAGAAAATACCATCGATATGGTCTAATGAGAACCTAACCAACAAAACATTCGCTCCTTAGGGACTTGGTTATCTTTTCCCGATTTCATGTAGTCTATCTTCACTAATGGTTTTATAACAATAAACATTCTTGATTACTCCTTTGACACATGTCATGTCTTGGATGTCATGTCTTGGTTGTCATGTCTTGGATGTCATGTCATAAATGTCAACTTCAAATTTGCCTTCATTATTCTAGTAGTTCAGTGACAATAAAACCAAGGTCCTTTACTCATCAAGTTCAATTCAACATGTCGCAGCGACAATGGCTGCTTAACAAAATGTAATCTGTATTTTACCATAGTGTCGATAGTTTTAAACTGGATATTTTTATGGACAAATTTTCTTGTTAACCTGACGAGTAAGTAACCTCACCTTTATCTATTTCCGAATTCGTATTTAACTATTCCAATTTTCGATTTCATGATAATGTCTTTTTCAAAATCAAGAGTTAATCAACAAGTAACAAGTCACCAATTCCATTCAACCTTCTTTCAATATTACATTCTCGAAAAAAAAATTCAAAAAAAATTTTTACAAACGAATTTTTTTTTTCAAATTTCCAATGTCTTTCATATAGCTAAAAGCAGATTACTTACCTACAGGTATGCACTGATGATGACTCAACAGTCGAAAGCGCTCTGCTATGAGTAATAATTTTGAATAAATTATCTTGCACGAAATACAACACTTCCCTTCATTGGTATATATATATATATATACACGTGCACACAGCCAAGCAACCCTCAATTATATAAGTATTCAATAAGTGATTATTAGGGACTAGGTCGAACTATTGTCTTCTGTAAATGTGAATACTGTTGTCACTGGTCATATTGAATCTCATAGTTACAAATCTGTCAGCGTCGAAATATGTGGTACTACTTTTTATGCGAAATCTAGAATTCAGATAACGATAACTTTCGGTTCGGTTCATTACGTCATCGAAGCTGGCTTTTTCAAGGGTGCCGAATTTAATAATTGGAAAAAATATATTTGTGATGATTTTTAATAACGATTGATTGAATCATATACTATTTACACACGGAATGATCAATATGAAATAGGTTTCTGGCGTAAATTCGGCTAGTGTGTACAACCCCACTGGACTATAATAGTTGTGGCGAAATATGTACCCAAGCATCAGCCGATTTCCTTGCCGTTTGCGTCTCACTCTTACGTAGTCGTCAATTCCTCTCTCTGTCTCTAGGCAATATCTAGGAGTATGATATTTTTAGATCATCGGGGTCTCCAGGCATTTTTCTCTTCATGATGGATCGTCTTATAGTTGGCCTTCAAAAGCTGCAAACCTATGGTTTTAGAGGTATAGCTTTGCTCTGGTTTCAGTCATATTTGACTGAACGTATCCAAAGCGTCATCGTCGCTAATACGTGCTCTAAGCATTTAGCACTGAAACATGGAGTACCGCAAGGGTCTGTACTGGGACCCCTGTTATTTTTACTATATGTGAATGACTTAACACATGTCGACATTCATGGACAATTCACAGTATTTGCTGATGACACTACTATACTTTGGCATGGCATGGATTACACATTTTTTAGAAGACGTCATCAATGAGGACCTGAGCAAAGTTAAAAAATGGTGCGACGCCAACTTATTATCTTTCAATGCTACTAAGACAGGTATCATCAACTTCAAGTGTGTTATTAGCAATGTATTTCTCGAAAATGATCGTATCAGCATCAAAGCCATGAATAATTTCTTGGGTCTAAATATTGATGCAAATCTGAAATTTGAAGGGCATATATTAAATTTATCTAAAAAGCTAGCGTCTGGCTGTTATGCCGTACGAGTTACATCTAACGAATTAGGGTTAACTGCGGCAAGGAATGCATACTTTTCACTTATTGAATCTCATCTGCGTTATGGTATTTGCTTCTGGGGAATGACTGCGAACTATTTATTCGATAGAGTTTTTATGCTCCAAAAGAGAGCTCTTAGATACATGTGCAAAGCCGGCTCGAGGGACGCTTGTAGACCTTTATTTTTGCTCCATGGAATATTGCCCCTGGCCTGCATTTTCATTTTGGAAACCGTATGCTTAGTACATAAAAAATATAAAGAATTCAGATACGCGTCATCGATTCACACTACTCGCGGCAGCTCTTCCCTGAACATTAAATTACCTATTCCCATATCAACTCTTACTAAGAACTCTATTATCTACGAAAGCAAGAAGTTATTCAATCATTTGCCCCTGCACCTAAAAAGAATTGAAAATGAACAAAAGTTCAGGAAATCCGTGAAACAGTTTCTTTTGGAGAGAGCTTGTTATAATCTCAATGAATTCTATCAGGTTTCCTAATTGTTATTTTATTATCTATGTTTTTTATGATCTCTTTTTATGATCTTTTTTATGACTTTTTTTATAATATTTTATAACTTTTATTATTATCATATACCTGTATGACATTGACATTGGTATAAGGCAGCTCTTTTGCCGTTACCAACAAATGTGTGTATGTTTATTTATATTTTTGTATATTATATTTATCGTTTATATTCAGGATACTGATAAGACTATGTAAATTTACTCATGTGATTAGTACCTAAGTTCTCAAACGCTTTGTCAATAAGAATTTATATTCTTCAGGCAATAAAGTACATTTTGATTTGATTTGATTAATATCATGGCGTTATAATCTGATAAATATAGTCTACAACTTGATACTCAAGATGAAGTGAACGATGGAAAATCTCAATTTCTAACAATATCATTATTCTCGCAGGTATTATGGCCTCAATGTAATGTGAGAGACTTACACTTGTGGTCCGAAGTGTACCTAGGTTCGATCGAAGAGAGCTCGTACCCGGAGAGTTCCCGGTTTTGCCCTGACACCCGAGAATCTTCTCCGAACTACATGACGAAGACGAGGTCCTACGGAGACCTCATCAACGACGGAGACTCGTGCACCTACTCCTACAGACGTCTCAGCGATCCCAGCATCCAATGCGATTCGTGAGTGGCTCTTTCTAATGTCACAAGTTTTGTATTTTTTATGTAGGGAAATGCCGAGTCACTTTTCAGATTTGTCAAGAATTAGAACAAAAGTAATCAACGAAGACGAGTCTTCCTTCATATACATGGTGTTTAAAAAAAACAGATCCTCATGCTAGGGTAGGTAGAACACTGCAAAATAAGTTGGGTTTGTTCAGTAAGAAAATGTCGTAACGGCATCCGTTTTTAAAATACAATTTTTTTCACTCTGTTTTTATGATTATGTCGAAAGTACTGGAATCATTGTAATGATATTTTGTATGGAAGTGTTTAGGAAGCTGACACATCACATGAATTTGTTTTTATATCTGACTCATAGAGGGCGCTAGTTACACGGTTCGTACTAAGTAGTTTTGAACATAAATTTTTTGTGGTTAAATTTTTCAATCCGAATTCAATGTGAACTTGAACATCATTCAAATTATAAGTATTATGAAAAATTAATTATTGAAAAAGGAAAACAACAATACATTTCTAATGCTGAACTTATTGATTAAAAAATGAATCACAATAATAACATTGAAACAAATTTGAATAAAAATATGGATTACACAGTTTCATTGTATCTTAAACAAAAAGTCAATGTTACAAAAGTGAATTCACGTCAAGAGTTGCAAGACTTCAACACTAGCACAGAGCAAGCACAAGTGGCACTGGCTGGGTTCTTCCAAATAGTGCGGTTCAAGCACAAAGCAGTGGCGGCTCGGTTCTCGTGGCCACCCTGTATATATAGACTGTATATATAGATATTTTCGAGCAGACATTCTAAATGTCTACAGATTAAAATATTGGAAAATAATGGGTACAATACTAACTCGATGGAAACCGCTCTCTTTACGTAGAATGTCTTGGTTCGAGGTCCGTGAGTTTTGTAACAACATCTGGCGTTCCACAAGGCTCTGTCTTGGGACCGCTTTTCTTCAATCTATTCATCAATGACATTATTGAGGATATTGGAGTCAACTGTTTGTTATATGCGGATGATCTGAAATTATATAAGATGATAAAATGCATGAGTGATTGTGCTACTTTGCATAAAGAATCATCTGCTATTGAACGCCAAAAAGTGTTCGATTGTAACGTTTTCACGTAAACAGAATAACTTTATTCATAATCACTCAATTGGCAATGACGTGCTCCCTTGATTTAATTCTGTCCGTGACCTAGGTATAATATAATAATTGAAGATAGGAGGAATATATCTGCTCTGATATTTCGTTATGGGGTAATCCATGACCAAACCAGCTGTAAAGCTCTGTTAAGCATGCTCAGTTTTCATGGTCCCAGAGTCAATTCTAGGCAAAACAATCTATTTTACCTCGAAGTACCTAGAACAAATGTACAAAAAAACTCACCTTAATACAGAATTTGCAGCAATTACAATAACATCAATGAGATATGTGACATTTTCTCTTGCAGCATTGCTTCGTTGAAAAAAATAACTTTTTGAAATTATGTTTTATGCTATTATGTTCCATTCCTCCATGGAGTAAGAGCATTATTTTACTAGATATTCTTTTGTTGCGTTTTTGAGCTACTGATATCTTTCAAGTGTTTTGGTATTTTGTTATACGGATATATGCAGTTTTACAGGGTAGACTTTTTGAATGTTGATGTTTTATGTTTTGAGTATATCAACAATAAAGTTTTTTAGGGTTGGCAATGAAAACTTCCCAACAATCGAGAGTTAGAATATAGTGCTCTTCAAATACGGATCTACATGACTGACGGAAATACAACTCAAATAGTACTCTGCAAATTCTTTTCTGTAAAGTGAAGACTTTCATGTGCGCCGTTGATGATCCCCATGCTGCGATGTTATTTGATATGTGGCTGTATGAAAATGCATAGTATAAGTTCAACAGTCCTTTCATTATATGTCCAAAATTGATTTTATTTAATGAATTCTAAATCCATTGAAAATATACGAGATCGTAGTTCCATGCACACAATCAAAAGACCATCTATCTCCCAACTGATAGTCATTTCGAGAACACTTATAAAAATATTTTGAAAAAACTTTTTCTCAGATATTTCAACATTTGTCAACGCAACCAAAATCAATGTGTATAATTCAATCATTCAGCCACATTCTTATTATTTCTCATCCATTGTATATCTGTTTAATTTAAATAAATTGAATATGCTCCAAAAGCTCCAGAACCGTGGAATGAGAATAATACTAAAATCAAATCGTTTCACCCCTATAAGATCAATCTTAATGACTATTAGTTGGTTTTCAGTGGAAAACAGACTGTACTATTTCACTATGATACTCATTTACAAAATAGTAAATCATTTAGCATCAGAATATTTTCAGAAGTACGTAACATTCATTAAAAATATTCATAATCAGAATACGCGTGGCAAAAATGTATATGTTTTTGGCACTTTTTATCGTAGTACCATGAATTCACTATTTTTCAAAGGATTTTTGGAGTTCAATAAATTGTTTAAGTCTGTAAAGGGATCTGCTTCACTCATCCAGTTCTAACCTAATTTGAAGGAATTCATCCTAAATAAATAAATAGCTAAGTAAGGTCTTGTGTATTCCATAAGTATATCTAGTATTTTGTCTATGTTATGTTTATATTGCCTTTTATTGTTATTCTATTGTTTTCAATCTCATCATTCTACGTTTATCGTAGATATTCATTACATTATTACATTTTTTTCATCTGCATATACATTGTAATATGCATTCTTTAATGTATATTAAGGTTCCTAATTAAATAAAGATCTATCCATCTATCTATCCAACTCAGGAAACGGGCGGCGCCTCAGGAAATCCCATCTGCGCCGAGCATTCGACGCGACGTGTTCAACGGTCACGACACTCTTAGAGACGAAGAACCTCCGAACGGTTATCCCAATTACCTCGAAGACGGCGAATGCAACCAGGATTGCATGTTCAAGGAGAACAACGACCAAATGGGCGATTCGGATCAGACGGATTTCGGCGAACCGCCACCTACAAAGGTAGGAAGTAGTTTGTAGGTGAGTCGATTGCCAGTTGGCTTAGTGCAACTGATGGGGCTTAGCAAGCCGAGACAGCCTGTTCTGCATCAACTGACAATTTACTCACGAAAATACAGTAGAATCTCTTATTCTTGAGAATCTAGGTTACTTATCACCTAGTAGTTATGACTTACTTCACGAAAAATTGCCCGAAAGCCTTTCGTTATGATTAGCTCACATTGAGTTTTCCTGGATTTAGGATCCTGTATGAAGTACGCAACACATCAACAAAGTATGTGATTGCGCTGGTTGTTTTCTTATCTTGTGTCTCTTCTGTCTATTTGTGTATTGTGGTAGGGAGTACGTACAGTATGATAGTTGTTTACGTTTTGGATTGTTGGTTTGTGTTTCAATTGAGTATCAGAAAATTGAAATGTATCACGTGATCATGGAGGGCTTGGAAGATCGAATACATTTTGCATTTCATTATCTTGTCTGTGATGATTCGAAAATCAAAACACTGGAGGTGTAGTGCGACACATTGTGAGACAAAAAGGCTTCTCGACTGTCAACTGGTCATCAACAGTGATATTAATAATGTTTTCTGCTAACATACCCAAATTAGCATTTGGTGTACGGATATGTACCACGCTAAATGATCGATTAATCACGGATTGATGTTCTGTGAATTATTCCAAAAATTAAACTTGTTACCATGGCAACACAATTTCTCAAACACATTACCATGGCAACAGAATGCTTTAAACACACCTTCAGTCGTTGGAGTCCTGTCCGGCCTGTCAATTGTAGGAACTGTCAACTGTCATTTTCGAATTTTGAAATCGAAAACTGACACCTCAACGAATGTAAAAGTTATCTACTACATCAGATGAAATTTTATTCACAAAGGTCAGTGAACAAGCCATTTCAATAGAAATTCATTCATCCAGTGGACTGGACGCACATATTCAACCAATATAAATAATACGTGTCTCGCTGGTGGCATGCAGTTGCATAGTATTATGTATTATTTCCCATTCCCTTCGAATTATTTTCTGGGTTAGCAGGTAGGTTGATCTAATTTTCGGAATTATGGAATCTTGTTGAAGAGAGGAATTACGAGTTTGTAGAAAAAGTATAGAATGTAACGCGTTTATAAACTCTTCTAGACATTCGTTTATTAAACACTTCCTCCGCTCTGCTGCGCTCGTGCTCAAAATACTCGTTACTGAATGACGTTTATAATACTTGTTACATAATATACTATCATACCTGGTCATAGTTGGTATCTAGCAATTTTAATTTCCGCAAAATTCTCAAAAATACATGCCCGTGCAATGAACTAACCTACCTTTTTTTGTCGAGGTGATTGAAATCCTTCATGGACATCATATGGGTATAATCCCCCATATGATAGTGTGGGAGTCCCCTGACTCTAGCCAGGGTATACCCACTAAACTCCACCCCTCTTGTAGGCTTGTCTGACCAATGTTTCCGACGACACTTAGACCTAGTGCCCATTGTGTCTTACCTAGTATTTTTTTTATTGTGCCCTCTCCATTATCTCTGTACCTTCAACAAGTCTGTATAAATCCTTCTGGGTCGTCAACTGGTTGCCCACAAATCTTCTGTCTTTTGCGGTCTAATGCCTCGTATCTGCACAGTATATGTGATACTGTTTCTAGTTCCTCTCCGCATAGTCTGCAGCTTGGGTCGCCAGATCTTAGAACAAACTAATGTCTTGTTTTTGAGAATTTTGTGAAAATCTTCACAATGACTATGGACGTTCATCAAATTACATAGAAGGTATGCTAGTGAAGTCACTTGGTTTTTTTCATTTGATGTTAATGAAACCAGTCTGTTTTCAAGAGAGACACTTCCTTTTTTCAATCGCCTTGAAATTTATTCTTGCTAATCGATCTGTTTTCTTCGATCTAACAGATAGAAGACGACGTCGAAGACTGTAGCGAAGGAAACCTTTCAGTAGAAAATGTGATAAAAAGTGAGATAGACCGAATTTCTAGTGATGTGACAAATGTATTTATATCGACCGATGGCGAGACTGAAAAGACTGTTCGTAATGGCAATGTCGACCATATCGACAACGATGCCAGTGTTACAGACAATAATGGGGAACTGAATGGTGATAGAAAATTGACTGCCGTCGATGTGGGGACTTTTTTAGACATGGAGAGATCCGGAGAGACTAGTACTGGAACGCTTGTAGGTGATGAAATTATTTGTGGGTAAGTTTCTTATGAAAATTTGGACCTTCGTGTCTTAAAGCCCATATAATTCTTCATGTGAAATTTTCATTCCACCATTTAATAATATGCTGACCATATGATACATTGAACTATTAGTAAAGCTTACAATCAATCTTGCATTTATTGTCGAAACAATACAGGATTGCATAGTCATGTTGTTATTTCTTATGATTATAATAATATTCTTGATGATCTGAATAGAATCACCTGAGTAATTATAAAAAATTATACTCCTAACTTCATCACCTTGCATCTCAAGAATAAAGCAAGTTAATATACCAGACTATCAGAATAGGATTCTAGTTTCAATCTTCTGGAAATGCCAACATGTTCATCTAAACTAAAGTCTCTAGATGGTATTAGTTGGATAAGATTTTGGACACAGCTGAACTTCTGTCCTTTTCTATTTTCTATATTACAATGGTTTGAGTGAATGAAAGAATAAGACATATATTCTGCTCCTTGTCTTTTCAATTTCCCTAATCCGCAGTTCATCATGTGACGTTGCGATGACATGGAAACTACGGGAAAACATGTCTAACTTTCAATCTAAGCCAATAGTCGGGAATGTTTTCCGGTAGTTTTCATGTCATCTCTACGTCAGATGATGACCTTGGCTACCGCGAATGGGTTGCGTGCAAGAACTGTCAGATGACCGACCCTGGAGGCACAACATTGAAACACAACCTCACTTTCCTTATTTGTTTACAAGTGATTGAAATAGTTTTTCATAATTATTTTGGCATACGAATCGTATTTTTTGGCTATTCATTAATTCGCTCATGCCATCACATTGTGCTGTTGTACAATGCACAAAAATTGCAGCAGGAGTCCTATTGGTACATTATGTTTCAAAAGTAAGTACCTACTATAGTAACTCACATATAGTTTTCATTTTTGAAATTTGGTAATTTCTCTGATATCTCATCGGAATTCCTTCTGCAATAGGAGCTAATAGAAATACACATGAAATTTCTAAAATAATGCAAGAAGATTGGATTCATGCAATCAAACGGGAGGACTGGTCTGATATACTGACGGAATATGATCGTTTGTTGTAGACATTTTCAATCTATTAGCAGTATTAGCTTGTATTGCAGAAGTGGCAGGAGGAATTTTAATAAGGAATGACAACATTTCATAATGATAACTATGTGAGATTACTATTTACCTGAAAAATCATATTCCTTCGTCTTTCGCTGCATTTTTTGTGCATTGTACAACAGCACAATGCGAAGGCATGCTTGAATTAATGAATAGCGCAAAAACACGATTCGTTTGCCATAATATTGTGAAAAACTATTTTAATCCTTGATTCCTCTGTAACCAACAATGAATGTTACATTGAGTTCATTGGTAACCAAATAAAAAAGTGAGGTTGTGTTTCAATAATTCACAGAAGAGTGAGGTTGTGTTCCAATATTTTGCCTCCAGGGTCGGTCATCTGACAGTTCTTGCACGCGACCTATAGGTTGCGTGCAAGAACTGTCAGATGACCGACACTGGAGGCAAAACATTGAAACACAACGTTACTTTTCTTATTTGTTTACAAGTGATCGAAATAGTTTTTCACAATTATTTTGGCATAGGAATCGTATTTTTCCGCTATTCATCAATTAATAATAATAATAATAATAATAATAATATTTATTTCTTTGGTTGAAAAGTACAGTTGAAAAAAAAAATCAATGCACAATAAACAAAGAAAATGTCAAAAGTCTAAAAGTAAATATAAATAACGTATAAATGTAAATAATTACCATGTAACATATTCTAAAAGTCAGTCATGTAATATATACAACACAAATAACACAAACAAACTAAAAAGTCAATATAATATAAACAACACACAATTGCTAAAGCTGAAGATCTCAGGTTAGTTGATTAGTGAACTCTTGAATGGTGTAACAAGTCCTTTGAAGTAGCATTTTTTTCAGCTGATTTTTAAATACATTAATATTTGGGGAATTCTTAAGATGCATTGGAAGCATATTGTATAATTTACACCCACTGTACTCTACGCTTTTTTCAAACAAAGATGTTCTATGAGCGTTTGGTAATATTAGATCTTTAGAACGAGTATTGTGGTTATGTTTTGGACGAGAGGACTGAAAATTGGATTTATTTTTGTAAACGTATGCACTAGCCTCTAGTATATAAGTGCTGGCAACTGTAAGAATTTTTAGCTGTTCAAAAGCATATCTGCATGAATCTCGGTAACCTAGCTTAGCTATTATTCTAACAGCATATTTCTGGAGGAGAAATATCCTTTGGACAGAAGCACTCATACCCCAGTTGAGGATACCGTATCGAAGGTGTGAATGGAAGTTAGCATGGTACAATGTTGAGAGTATAGTAGAACTGCAGTGATTCGACATGAATCTAATAGAATAACAGCTTTTCTTCAGTTCATTACATAATGTATCAATATGTTGATTCCATGTTAATTTTTCATCTAGAATAATTCCTAGCATATTTACAGTTTCTACAGGACTAATTGATTTTTCACTATTTTCATATAGTATTACATTCGATTCCCTTTGACCACGTCTGCTAAACAATATGGTGTTAGTTTTAGATTTGTTGAGTTTCAAATTGTTCTTTTCAGCCCACAATATTATTTTATCATATATATCCTCAGCAGTATTTTGGAGTGCATCCATGTTGTCTTCAACAATCAAAATATTTGTATCGTCAGCATAACTTGTAACGAATGCCGAGTTTGTTTCACTAATGAATGAAATTAGATCATTAGCAAATAACAAGAAAAAAAAGGTCCTAAATTCGAACCCTGGGGAACTCCCTGCATGCCATCACATTGTGATGTTGTGAAATGCACAAAAACTGCAGCGGAAGACGAAGTAATCCGGTTGGTACATTATGATTAAAAGTAAGTACCTACTATAGTCACTCACATTTAGTTTTCATTTTTGAAATTTGGTAATTTCTCTGATTTCTCATCGGAATTCCTTCTGCGATAGGAGCTAATAGAAATACACCTGAAATTTCTAAAATAAGAAGATTGGGTACATGCAATCAATCGGGAGGACTGGTCTGACATGCTGATGATCGTGTGTGTTGTAGACATTTTCAATCTATTAGCAGTATTAGCTTGTATTGCAGAAGTGGCAGAAGGCAGAAGGAATTTTAATAAGGAATGACAACATTTCATAATGATAACTATGTGAGATTACTATTTATCTGAAGAATCATATTCTTTAGTCTCTTGCTGCATTTTTTGTGCATTGTACAACAGTACAATGCGAAGGCATGCTTGAATTAATGAATAGCGCAAAAAACACGATTCGTATGCCACAATATTGTGAAAAACTATATCAATCCTCTGATTCCTTTGTAACCAAATAAAAAAGTGAGGTTGTGTTTCAATAATTCACAGAAGAATGAGGTTGTGTTTCAATAATTCACAGAAGAATGAGGTAGTATTTCAATATTTTGCCTCCAGGGTCGGTCATCGTGCACGCGACCTATAGCGCCTGATTATCAGATACGATTTTCGAGGTTAGATTTTCTGACAAATCAATCATAGCCGTCGATGGAAGATGGAAATAGGGTATAAACACCCACTTTCAATTTATAGCCATACACTTCCCGCTGAACAAAAGATAGGAATGAAAAGAATGCATGTAACAACTTTTTATGATGACAAAATTCAATCATATATCACGTTGCAAAATAGAGCAGCACAGTGAAATATTCATATTTTCAATTCTAGCAATCAATCTGGAAGCGATCGAAGGTCGAAATGTTCTAGTGCCACACAACTTTCCAGCACCAACAACGGCTGGGACAGCTCGTTGCACAATTTTTCACAACCAAAGAATATGTTTTCTTATCACTATCCATTAGGTGAAGATGGTTTGGTTACGTTGAAGTCTGCTGTGCAGGAAAGGCTGAACCAAATCTTAGAAGATTATAATGTGAGTTACCAATTTATTAGTTCATGAATTTGCATTCATAACAATTCGTTGATAGCTATTTATATATTCCGGTACGCTACGCGTCGGGGCTCAAATTCAACACGCGGGAGGAAATCGATACATATACAGGGTGGCATTGAAATAAGTGCGAATATTTCAAACACTGAGGAAGTTCGACGTGTACTATGGAATGGCACTAATAAAAAAAAAATTAGGGATCAAAACAAAATTTGAGGTTAGACCCCTTTTTCCACCAAGAGTTCTACACTGTAGCAAATCTGACGTCACCTCTGTTCAAATTTCCATGCGGTGGGTACAATCACGGAGAGTTCAATCATTTAAATTGTTTCAAAGTTTCGAACTTGATTTTATTTCTCTTATTTTCTTCAATTTTTGGTATGGAATTTCTCGTTAAGTAGGAGAATTAGAACAAATCTGATATCATGGGAATATTCCTCAGACTGCATCATATTGATGTGCTGAATATGTGCACTTATTTCAAAAACACCTTGTATATATACGATTTTATTCACGAACCTAAAATTGTGCTTCAAGCGGTCTATCTCGCGAGTTTCGATCCAAATCAATGTGTTACATGATCTAAGGTTACAGACAGTATTTGAATCTAATTTGACATTGACACTTCTGTCACATTGAATTTGTTTATTGGCATTTTATAGTGTAATTGCTTTTAATATGAAGTTTTGATTGAGTTTTTGGAATATGAGGAAGTGTATCAGATCATGGAAAAACTGAATTGTCATTTGTTTTATAGTAGTGATTAGGTACTTGGGTAGCACAGATCTCATACTTATATCTCTATACCAAGGAAGCAAAGCTGTAGCCCATTTATTTTACCTCTCACGTGAGGTAATATTTGTTTTCCTCCCGTGGAAGTAAATTGAAAGGCTTGTGTCCTTAAATGAAGGGGAACAAACGCTTACTTTCGATGCAGTGAGTAGATAAAAGGTATTATGTACTTAGTTATTTCGGCCCGAGCATTGTCGACCTGAATGGAAAAACTATCCATTAACAATGAACATCCGAAAACCTTCTTTTTCTGACAGTTTGTTGTACTTTAATACAAATCTAAATTGTTTTCGTGATTTCTGTCAAATTGTTAACCCTTAACGTATCTTGCAGTGGCCTTTTGGAATCCCAGTCGCAGTATTTCTGTAATATGTTGGGTATATGGATATTTTGGCGACATTGCTTTTAGGTATACCTAGAAACGTCCAGTAAGCTGTTAATGTCAGTGTTCCATGCAGTTTCGTTGCGTTCAGACACCTAATCACAATCGATTTTTGTGGGATCTCCCAAGGACCAAGGAGATGATCATTTAATTCTCCCTGATATTTTCTTGAGTTTTACCAAAAATGAATTGAAATTCTTTGGAACCAGACACCACATTTGTAGCAAAGATAACAAGAAGATCAGCAATGAGATTCTATTTCACGAATCGGCCATTTTTATTGGATATTTGGTATTCTGTTTCTCGAATGAATCGTGTAAACTCGACTCGATTCCTGGATACCTCAAGAGGAGTCGAATTGATCCGTTTTGTCAATTTATCCTTATCAATCGTCGAATGTTTCTTTCAACCTTCATATCAATTTGAGGTTAGATCATCTTGTTTGTGTGTTATATGAAGAGGAAGTGTGTAATCAACTAATTACTTCATGAGAATAATACATAATTCATTTTCGATGTCGTTCAAACTCAGAGATGCCCACTGCACCGAACATGGCCACGGCCACAGGATGATTTCCATAGACTAATATTCGTGAAATCAATGAAAAACTGTGAATCAGGCTAAGCCAAGTTTCATTAGGGCTTGACGAGTATAAACTCCTGATAAATGACATTAGGTACCACACCCAGTTGAATATAACCTTAATGCACAGAATCTTTGACATTCTGTAGTAATTCCCTTCATACTTTGACCTATCCACTAGGGTCTCAATGATTGTATCAGAAGACGAACCAACATTTTGTTTAATCCGAAAAGCTCAATAAATCTTTTTTCAGGTAAAGAAAAATGATTAGGTACCTACTTCTGTTTCATAGTTCTTGTCGTCAACGGATTTGATCCAAATTTATTTGTCTATTTTTAGCTGCCAAAATACTATCTCGAACAATTAGAATTATTTTTATTTTTGTCTTGAGGTTGGAAAAAAATCAAATTCATAAAAACAATATAAACCACCATAACCTCAAATTTGTGATAGCTTTTGGGCTTTTTAGTTGAAACAGTTTTTTTATTGGATATTATATAATAATGCCATATACATATGTTCAAGGAATCCGAGTGGTGGTATTTTTGAAAAAATATTCAAATTAGAGTACTGAATACATATAATTTTAGTTGAGTATCATCAAGTATGAATGTCATACCTATACTTGAAAAGGAGCAGGAAATTAAAATTTGAAATTGAAATCGATTAGGAACTGAACTCGTCAGTAGCTGTCTTTTTTACCAACTTTAATTGAGGTCAATTAGGATTTCCTACACAGCTCTATAGCTTAGTGTGATGATATTTGTAAAATTTGTATATCGATACTTCAAAGTTGGGAACCAACTCCCCAGAAGTCGAAACTTGTGCGGGGTTAGGAAGAGCGGGACCTACAGCTTATAGTGGAAGAATCCGAACCACTTCTAGGGCATCGAGGTGCTGCCAGGATTACAACCATGAATCACACATTTTGAAGAAAAATGCTCAGCCGATAGCCGGATTCGAACCGACAGTACGCATCGTGAACGGTTATCTAGCGAATTTCAGCGCATAGACAAACTCGGCCACGGCGCCCAGTATGTTCCCAGTATGTTCAATATAATTCGAGCTTTTTGTGGAAAAAAAAGAATGGATATAATATGTAGTACTCCTTGTAAAACCTTCAATAAGTTCAGTTTTTCTATGTTTTTCTATGTGTGTGAGGTAATATTTTTGTAAAATGATGACTGCTTTAGATATATGACAACATCAACAGTTCACAATTGTGTCTAAACTATTCATTATTCTCTTCCTTCCTCTTTATTTATCAGGATATAATACCCTATAATTGATTATATTATTTAGTAATGATTTTCAATCTATTGATGTTTCGAGATGAACATGGTAATTTTATTCACAGTATGTATTGATTATTTTCAGAGAAAGGTGGAACTCCTTGAAAAGGAACTACACATCACTAGGCAAAACCTCATCAAACAATCACGTCTCAGATGCAATCACAATGACTGTGAACAAGACGATAATGTAAGTGCTAGTGTTTTCTCTTTCTTCAGTTTTTTACTTATCTATGGTGTCTCACTTTTATTGGATGAACTGGAACAACCGAAATGAAAATCAACAATATTACAGCTCTGTACTCACCGAACTCAAAAAACTAGAAGGCCAATATAAGTCTGAGAAATCACTCAAATCCGAATAACTGTGCTGATACTACGGCCCTCCGCACACGGGTCGATCTGCGACATGGGCGACGCGATTCGAATCGTACGACGGTCTCCCCTCTACTCGACTTCCTAAGCAAAGCATCTGGATCCCGCACACGGGTCGTTTAGTGGTCGTCTAGAAACGTACGATTTAGGATCTCCTCGTTTTCAGTCTCACGCGATTAGCAAGGAAGCAGTTTGATCGAGTGAATCGTGCGTCTCAATGGAGAAAGTTGTTCAATAATTTTTCAATCATTGTGAATATTTGTGTTACCTACCTTAGTTCTTTACTTTCAGTAACTAGAACATATAATTTCATGTTTCCAATTTATACTCTCAACTTTAGGAACTGTTTGATTTTTTGAAATATATGAATCTTACATCAATGTTATTAGTATGTGTTCTTCTGCGCTGACACATTCCCTCATATTTGAATCCATATAATTTATGACTGGAGCAAGAGTTTCCACTAAATCAATATATGATTCCTTCGACATTCTATAAAATGACAGAAATTTTGTGTCACTCTCTTGCATTTCACTTGCAGTAACAAAAAGTCGAGTGTGAAAATTTTGTGCAATGTACGGATGCACCCATAAACTTCGTTGTCTTCTTCTTCTCCTGATCTGCCGGTGCCACAAAAACATGAATATGTAGAACTGCTCATTTTTAGCGAAACATTTCTTTTTGAAGTGGAAAAAAATAGAGTAACTAAGTTGATCAGACGCGAGTCGACTACACAAAACGTCGACCCATATGCGGATGAAACACACTCCCGTCTCTTGAATCGTGCAGAAATTGTGACGTCATTGCAATCGCGTCGCCCATGTCGCCGATCGACCCGTGTGCGGAGGGCCTACCAGTCTTACTTCATATACATGTGATTATTATATTATATATTTGTTCACAAGAATCTGATATTTATGCATTGGGAAATACTTTATATTCACTTTGAAACTTCATTCAAAGAGGCTAAATAGGGATTTACTGGAGCGTCGTGGGGACGGATCAGATTGTGAAGATTAGATGCGAAAATAAAAAAAGTGTATATGATATATGACCTTTCACTGGTGGAGAGAGCGTGTACAGGTGTTCAAAAAGGTAAAATATAATGATAACCGAAAAATATTAATCTGTCGGTTTGCATGGTAGGGGTGGCCGTACGAAGGGATAGAGAATAGTTAAAAATGTAAAAATGTATTCGAGCACGTCAGATATTGAGAAGGGACGTTAAGTGAACCCTCAAGTAGTTCCTATTCAAAAGACTAATTAAAATTCAACACCACGCATCTTTAAACCGAAGGCCTTGCGAACCCGTGTTCATGGGACCTTTCTTTAATTTTTTCAGTGTCCTCTATTGTGTGTGTTAGCTTGGTGGATTAGAATAAAACACTCTGGGTACTCCACGATTTCCACTATATTCACAATAGGTATCAGATACAACCTAGCCGTATCACGGCTACTTCTTAACTACTTAATATTACTCATACATCGATAAATTCTACCGAAAATACCCGTCACCTTTTACATAACTCCGTGTGTCATCGATAGATCGACACTCATTAATCTAGAAGCACTATACAGGGCGTATATGTACGTAGCTCCTCGATACGATACTCTCTTACATTTGGCACTATGCAGTGTACTTTTTTCTATGTCACCCTGTATGAAGAATAAAATTGTTGTGCTAAAATTGTTCTTATCCATCATTCGGTTGCCCCCTTACGAGCAACCCCCAAAAGTCTTCAAGTGACTTGTGCGAGCAAGGAATGACGGGGGTCTTACCTTTCAACGTGTGATCTCAAACACTTTCTTAGGCCATCAGAAAAAATTCTGCGGTGGTGGGGGAATCGAACCCACCTACCAGCAATCCAACGTGGATAGAAACTGAAACTCCTACCTCTAGGCTACGCTAGCCTATTAAGTACTATAAGTACTATATGTATATGGAATATCTATAAAGAATATCATTTTTATTCCCCTTTACATGTCCCGATTTTTTCCCACTCATTTCACTATCATAAACTACATAATAGTTATTTATGCAACAAGTGCAAAAAGTGAATGTTTATTGCATTCGACGTGAAATTGTCCGACGAGGCCGTTAGGCCGAGTTCGACAACACGTCGAGTGCAATAAACAATTTTTGCACGAGTTGCATACAACATTTTTTCTACGTTCATGCAAAAAGCAAAAAATGATTTATCGAGGTGCGGCACTAGGTACAATTCTGTTAATTGTCAGAATTAATTTTTGACTGACGTTTCTATAACCACAGTTGCATTATAGAAAATGTTTGTCATGATGACAGCACGTTGAAGTAGAATGACAGATGAGTGCAATAAAAACTTTATTGCACTAAGTGCAATAAAGAACTTCTTTTTTCACTAAATATAGTTCAATGAAGTTCTGCTTTTTGCATGAATGTAGAAAAAAAATGTTAACGCACGACTATGACGGCTGAATGAATAATTTTAACGTGTTCATTTATCATCAACATGCACTACACTGTTTCACCACTAACCAAACCGATTTTTTATACGCCTCGACACGTGTTTCGCTAACTATGTTAGCATCTTGAGGAGAAGATTAAATCTAAATATTCTATTTTAGTGTGCTACTTATATACTAGGTATATGTCCACCCAACCGTGAAAGACAAACCGCCAAATTAAAGTTTGTCATGGTTGAGTTCACATGTTCACCTTGATCTTATATCACTAAATTATATAGAGGGCTATATGGAATAGGTCCATTATCTTTATGTATTATTCTATTACTATTCTTGATTATCTAGGCTTTCATATGCATCTAATTTCATAACATTATTAACTTGCTTAACCATAGGGAAGCGTGGACTTTCGCTTTGATTGGTTAATATCAGAGGCAATATTACACCTGCCTAATATTATGACATGTGACGTGACGTAAAGAATGAAGTTTTCTTTGTGGGAAGATGATCACATCATCACATTCCATTTATTTGTTGTATATTTTATGTGTTACAATAAATCCTGAGAATAAACACGATCTCCAAAGTGGAATTCCGTGATAAGAATTACCATAATTTCGAATTGGGCGCTATTATTCATTTCATCAGTGTAAAGATTCTTTCAGAGGCAGCGCCAGGCACTGTCTTTTTGGAACGAAGAATGGTTAAATAAATACGCGAAGCTCAAAGTCATTTCCACTAATGTTCATAAATAGACGAAATTGGTAGATAACGAGAGAAAAACAACTACTTTCCTGGCTATTTGCCACGCAGAACATTGAATTACATCCTCCCGCAATCTTTGCAATAACTCGTATAGAGAATGAAATCGCAAGTGTTTCCTTCCTGGGCGCCCAGCTGCGCTTAAGTGGTAAACAACTACTTTCCTGGCTATTCGCCACGCAGAACATAGAATTACATCCTCCCGAAATCTATGCAATAACTCTTATAGACGAATAAAATCGCAAGTGTTTCCTTCCTAAACGCCGAGCTGCGCTTAAGTGGTTCGGGAACGCATGACTACCTACAGGCCGGTTTCAAGCTTTGGGCTCTCATCAGTGCAGGGCTATCCCAGATAGCATTTATGACCGCTATCTGGTGCGAACCTGACCCTACGTAAACGCATCCCAGTATTTATTACCCAAGAGGCGTACGGTAGTGAGGTAGGAATTTCTGGAGGTTATATGCCTCGGGGAACACCTCCCTTGGCTATGTGTTCCAGAGCCTCGCTGTTCGTTGGATGAACGAGTCTTTGGAAAGAGATGTTCTGCAGGTCTCCAAAGTGACAACGAAGGGGTGCGAAGCGATAAGAATTTGAAAACAAAATCTTCTGAAGTAAAGAATTTGCATTCTCCTTCATATAAAGATATGCACATAATATCATTCTGAATATTCAACAGAAAACAACTACATTCCTTGCTATTTGCCACGTCGAACATTGAATTATATCTGTTGAACATCCAAAAAGAGAGCATGAAGAATGAAAATCCTCTGAAATTGAGAATTGACATCATCTCTCAAATCGGATAAAATAATATTTTTTCCATTTATTTTATTCATTTTATTTTATTCATACACCATCCAACAGCCGGAGCCAATTACAGGATGGGAAAGATAAACATTTAATTACAAATTGCAATTTAGATACAAACTAGATTAATACTAACTATACATAAGTTTCATACTAAGGGGAATGGAGATGAGCATATCTGCATATGAGCTGGAAAAAAAAACTATGAAAAGAGAAAAAAAGCTCACATGCAGATATGCACACTACCAAATAATACTACAACAATGCTCGTTTCAAACTAGCAATATTAGAACAGAGGATATCAAATGAATCTTGAGAAGACATATAATCTGAACATATTCTATAAATAGGTGAAAACTGCAGTAGATTAGATTGGGGTGTGCGCAAGTAAAAGAAATATTTATCTCTCACTGGCAATCGAGGAACATGTATATCAATGAGAGACAGTAAATGGGGACAATCAAGTTTGTTATTAAGCAATTTATATAGAAATAAGACTCCACTATAAGTACGGCGAGTAGCCAATAGTGCAGTTTCAAATCTACCTGATAATGTCAATTGGGGCAATCCTCTATCTGGATATACCCCATCTACTCTAAACCAGAGGTGTTTGATGAATTTCCGCTGAATGTTTTCAATATTATTAGAATGAACATCATATCCAGGACTCCAGACCACCGAGGCATACTCCAGTTTTGACCTCGCAAAAGCATTGAAAATTAACTTCATTGACTCAGTTTGCTGCATGAACTTAGAGTTTCTCAAAATGAATCCCAGTGTTTTGTAAGCTTTTGCGACCATCCCAGTTATATGATCAACGAAGGTTAGTTTAACATCAAAGACCACACCCAAGTCCTTGAACTGATAACATCTATCTAGCAACTCATTGTCGATACTATAGGTATACTCAATGATATGCTTCTTTCGCGTAAAAGACATTGTTTACACTTTTTTATGTTGAGTGGCAATAAGTTAGAATTACACCAGATATGAAGCCTTTGAAGATCATCTTGGAGTAACGTACAATCCTGAATGCTATTGACTGTCGCATAAATCTTACAATCGTCTGCATATAATAACACATTTGACTTGAGGGTTCTGCATATGTCTTATGAATCTTGTGAATAGCAGAGGACCAAGAATTGATCCCTGTGGAACACCAGATGAAGCTGATATCTCAATAGACTTGAATCCATGGTACTGAGCATGCAGTTTCCTGTTTGAGAGATAAGACATGAAAAAATTTATTAGTTTTTTGGTGAGTCCAAAGCAGGCGAGCTTCCTCAGAAGCAAACCATGGTCAAGACAATCAAAAGCTTTCGAAAAATCTGTATATATTACGTCCACCTGCCTCCCATTGTCCAATGAACCAGCTAAAAATTGAGTAATGCATACTAAGTTGGTGACGGTAGATCGTCCTTTCATAGAACCGCTGATTCTCAATGACTTGTGAATTTACGTGTGCTGACAAAAATTCATGAATTACCATTTCGAATAACTTACTAAAATTACATAAAATCACTATTGGCCTATAATGCTCTATATTTTACGTATCGTCTTTTTTAAATACAGGACATATTTTTGCAGCTTTCCATGAAGCAGGAAAAATATTTGTTCGAAGAGACAAATTGAAAATTACTGCTAACGGTTTCGCAAATATTATTGCAACAATCCTTGAGTATGAAAGATGGTATACCGTCTGGGCCCATAGTCATTTTTGGTTTGAATTTTTTTAACCCTCTAAGAACAAGATATTCTGATATACCGGGTGACCCGGAACCAATTTACCCCCCTGTATCTTCGTTGTTATTTCGTATGGATGTTTCAAATTCGGTACTTCGATTTGATGTTATGAATGTACAATTTAGCAAGTATCAATCCAATTATGACACTTCCGGTTTTACCGGAAGCGCATCTAGTTTTTATATTTCAAATGGGAAGTATCTTTTTTTTTTTGAAAATTACAATTCGGTATAGAATTACCTTTACAATGACATCACAATCATACTTTCAATTCACAATCTGCTGATATAATTGACATTTTATAAAAAAATTACTTTTTGTGTTTCCCTCGTAACGGAACATTTTCATGAAAGTATGCTGTGGAAGATTGAATTATTGTTGCTTACATGATATTGTTCAATCTTCCACAGCATACTTTCAGGAAAATGTTCCGTTACGAGGGGAACACAAAAAGTATTTTTTTTATAAAATGTCAATTATACCAGCAGATTGTGAATTGAAAGTATGATTGTGATATGTCATTGTAAAGGTAATTCTATACCGAATTGTAATTTTCAAAAAAAAAATAATACTTTTCTATTCGAAATATAAAAATTGGATGAGCTTCCGGTCAAACCGGAAGTGACATATTTGGATTGATACTTGCTAAATTGTACATTCATAACATCAAATCGGAGTACCGAATTTGAAACATCCATACAAAATAACAACGAAGATACAGGGGGGTAAATTGGTTCCGGGTCACCCGGTATAAGGAGTAGCTAAACTGGGTGTGTTATCGAGTCCTTCCTCAGGTTCATAAACTGTTGAGGTTATAAAAGATGAATGATTTTGGATTGTTTTGCAACTCATGTTCAGCAGTTCTAACAAAATTCGTATGTGGTATTGATACGTCTTTCTTAATAGTACTTCTCAAGGTTTTGAAATTTTCAAGGAATTCAGGGTCTCCAGAGTTTTTGTAAAGTTTAGAGAGTTTGTTTTTCTTTTTGATTATGATATAAAAATATAACTTACCAATATGTTCAGTATTGAAATGAAAATTGAAATGTATATGAGAAGTATACTTGTATAAACTCTGATCTTGATGAGCTTGGAACTTCCAAAAAAATCATTCGTATCAGTGATATGGGAATTATATCTCTCACAAACAGGTTATATGACTTCACTCGAATAAATTCATTTCGGATATCAAATCCTCATCAGTAACGTGAAGTCCAGTAACTGTTTCAGCCATTCTTCATAAAACTAAAACCATAATGAACTGACATCTGAGAATTATGATTTGTTGACATACTCCTGTCATCTGGGAATTTGTACAGGACGTAGAAAGAAAAGAAAATAGATTGCGGATGGATGTAATCCAATGTTCTGTGTGGCATTAGCCAGGAAAGTAGTTATTTTTCTCTCGTTATCTACGAATTTCGTTCATTTATGAACATTTGTGAAAATTACTTTGAGCTTCGCATATTCATTCAACATTTCATTCCACTTTGAGCATTTAGGCTGTTTGTCAGTTGTAGTAGTAGTTGTTGTTGTTTACGACCAACGTTGACCTTGTGTTTCTTCTCTTAGAATTCGGTAGTGGAGTCTGTGTGCAGCACCAGCGAGGGGGAAGGGCACGCGTCGGCTGGCGAATCGCTGCGCTCCGAGCTGTCGTGGGTGGCGGTAGACGAGGGCTCGGCAGAGTGCCAGCGGACGCTGTGGGTGCCCGATCACGCGGTCAACAGGTGCACCGGCTGCAGCACGGAGTTCTGGCTGGGCAGGCGGCGCCACCATTGCAGGTGAGAGGAGAGGTTTTAGTTGCACCAGCAAGAATTCAAATCGCCATGACTTTCAGTGTGGATGCATTTTTAAATGAATCAGAACTATCCTAACCATGGAGGTGAATTCAAGCCTGTATCCCAATTTTCCCAAAAATTTACTTTTTTTTTTTTCTTTTTTTTTTTAATAATAATTTATTTATTCCCAATATAAACAAACAGTTTTTTCACAAATAGTTGAAACGATATGGAAATAAATAGAGCGAGTAGATACACTTAAATCCGTAGATTAGTACGTGTTCGGTTTCTCTCTAATACATTTCTAAATCGAATCGTGAATATTTGTTAAGAATTAATAATTAAATACATAAGTTTTATGAAGAGTTGAATCATTCAGTAGGTCTGATTGAATACAATAAATAATTCATAATTTGATTGGCAATTACTCTAAAAATGAAGTTTACAGGTTTTAGTTCGGTAACCATATTACCCTGTACAGTCTGTATAATATTTCTTTGCGCGTACGTCACAACTTCAAAAAACGAATCAAATCAATTCAAGGTCATATGTTCCAGTGAAGCAGTGCCGTACTGTTTCAGAAATTGGGTTAAAATAAATAATAATATTCCGAAAATTTTTATTCACTACTCTTGCTAATTTTGACTAAGAAACATTCAATAAAACATAGGGTTGGTATATATTTCAAGTTTCAACTCTTTAATTCGTCAATTTATTGAAGGCAAAAACATGTATCAGAACTTTGTCATGTATATACGTATGGGTTGGTATATGACCCGATATACACACCTATTTAATGATTTTGTGAGGTATTCTGTGATCGTGGCAAAGCTGAACACTGTTGAGTCGTTTATAGTATTTGGTATATATTACTATGCAGCATTTTCCACAACACCACCACTATGGCCAGCATGAAGTACAATAAATCGTTTCCCTTTCGCAAATATCCAAGTTTCATCTAGGAAGACGATTTGTCTAGGGTAACTAGAATTGCGATTTTCATAAAACTTTCTGAAAAACTCTGCTCTCATTATAGATATGTCCGTCTTCTCAACCAATAACCGTCTGTGCCTATACTTTCATCACGAATATGTTTAGTTCTGAGTTTTTCTTTCATAATTCTAAGTGATGTGTTTTTCTGTAAAATAGTCAGTTGAAGGTAGTCTAGAAGTATCAAATGAAATCACTCAATTTCTGCATACATAGTATAGATCACATTGTGTACTTCCATTTTCAAATCATCATCCAGATCTACTGTCTTGGGTTTTTTTTTAGTTCTAGATTTCCCTGGCGTACTCAAACTTTCGTTTCTCTCAGAAAGTACTTTAATACTCGAAACTGTCCGCAGATTGATATTGAGGGTATCAGCGACACGCTAAAATTATGTACATCATGATGATATTCTTGAAGTAAGATCTGACTATTTTTATTATTGTGAAATATTGTAAAAAATTCGATAGAAGACTTCGTGCTCGCGAATTCAAACATCTTCCTGGCATGTTGAATATTTGACAATGGCCACGAAAAACGATGTCATTTCAGCACCTACTGTACGCCTCTGAATTAGCCGATTCAAGCTTTTAACCCGTTGAGTTCAGAAACGATGTCGTAACTTATGTCAACAAACGTCATGATAGACATTGCTGCTATATATGCAAGTCTGAGGAGGAAAGCAAGTGGCGCGTAGGTCTATGCTAATTTCAGTCACACACGAAGAAATATTATACAGACTGTGTCCTTGATTATTTACACTAACAAGATGATCCACCTGCATGTAGAATGAAGTCAAATTTGGCCTTAGTTCAGCTATTTGTCAACTATCGGTATCTGCTCGATTCCATCTATCTGTGACTTGCAATATCCTTCTCTCTGAAGCAAGAAAATCACTGACTTTGATATTCTGAAGGCTTTTAAAAAAATAATTTTCATTAAACAAAGAAAAAAAGTTGTAGATTTTAGCTCGAGGTTGTGTTGTCTTCCGACGCATAGCTGAGGGAGACAAAACACCACTGTATTTTTCTGTGACAGGAAAAAGGGCGAATCAATATTATGAAGATACTACATTATATTAAAATCAGAAAATTATCGACGTGAAATCTGAAGTTTTTAACAGAATCTGCATCTTTTTGCAGGCATCGTTATCATTCTTTTGAAGTAATCAAATATCTATCTGTCTAATTCTGTTATTTGATTTTAATAAATTGCGAACTTAGTGGTTGTTTGATTTTAATAAATTGCGAACTTAGTGATTGTTTAGTAATTTCCGTAATCGCGAAGTTGAATAGAAGATATATAAGGACTCGCAGCTCTTTCTCGGAGACGCTGTTATTGGCTTATTTTTCGGAACTAGCACAACAAAAGCCATTTTCCTATTCCCATACTACCAAATATTTCAAAAATAATGGAAAAAACAATGAATAACAGACTGCGTGATTATTTAGAGGCAACAGAATATCTTTATAACCATCAATATGGTTTTCGCAAATCTTGTGACACAGAGTCAGCTGTCTTGGATATTGTGACAGAATTTCAAATGCAACTAGGTGCCAATAAGATGTGTGGACTTCTGTCATCTTCTGATCTTCGCAAGGCATTTGATTCTCCTCAATTTTTTTTACCAACTTGGCATAAGAGGTAAAGTTCATAAATGGTTTCGAATTTATTTGAGTGGTAGAAAACAATTTGTTTATTAAGGAACAGTTTCGAGTACAGCTAGTGAAATTATATGTGGAGTACCACAAGGGTTAATCTTTGGCAATGTTTTATTTTTGGTATACATATATCAACTCGATTATTAAAATCGAATTGAAAGGAAAAGTTTACATGTTCGCTGATGACACTACATTGATTTATTCCGCAGACTGGATCCAACAAATCAGAAATGCAATTGCAAGTGACTTGATTGTTTTATCTTAATGGTTGTCCTATAATAAATTGAGTATAATTTACAGCCAATCAGCAATCATGTATATCTCTAAACGAAGCCTCTCAAGTGAACTGAAATTTGATATCAAAGGACCCCGCACTTTTAGTACGTAAAATGGTTCTCGGTGAAATTTTCTGAATTTTCAGTATGTTGTAGAATTCGATGAACTGATTGAACCTGCAGAATCGTAAAGTTCTTTGATGAACAGATTCTGAGATACAGGGCGTTGAAGTTACAAATCGGTATTTTTCATTTAATTATTTTCTCGAAATTCAAAGATGCCCAGTACAATTTTCTTCGCTCATATCATTAACGAACCTCCATATTACTCAACATAATTCAGATGGTTCAGATGATGTGATTGTTTACAGAGTGAAACATATAAACATTTCAGTGATGTCTGAAAATTCGATGTAATAATGAAATATCGAAAAAATAATTTAGGCATGCAATATACTATTCTCATTCCATCATGAATCACAATTCATACTTTTCATACAGGGTGATTTGAAGAATTGGTGACACCTAAGACCGATTTATTCATACACATCCTGTATATTCGAGTGAAATGTTAACCTCCCAAGATAGCTGATACCGTATGAACATGATTTCGTTGTGATATATAGGGCGATCATGAAGATTTTCGATGATGAAAATGACAAAAAATCGTGTTTTTTGAAATTCCCCTGTTATTCATGATTAACTCGGTAAAATTCCCTAATTATTTTTTAATATATTCATCATTCGCTCCTCAACGCTGTCTTAAAAATTCAGTTTTCTATCATGACGGGTGTCATAGTTATTAATTCAGGAACTTACCATTTGCATGAAGAGTTGAAGAGACTTGTTCACTTACATTCGCATAGTGGCCGATATTTTTCACAAATAGTGAAACGTGAGAATGTGGAGACGAAAATAAGTTTAGTATTCATATACAGGGTGAACATTAGAAATTCAATAACAATAGCAGATATATGAATTTGATAATATTGATATAATGTACAGATAGTTAGGCGAATTTCGTTGGTATACAAGCTCTGCCAAAATGAAAAACGAACAATACCTAGGAGATGGGAGAATGATTCGGTCTTTCACGCTTCCATTTCTAATAGGGAGAGTTGAATCCTGGAATCGAATGTCGCCTAACTATCTGTACATTATATTAATATTATTAAATTCATATATCTGCTATTGTTATTGAATTTCCAATGTTCACCCTGTATATGAATACTGAACTTATTTTCGTCTCCACATTCTCACGTTTCACTATTTGTGAAAAATATCGGCCACTATGCGAATGTAAGTGAACAAGTCTCTTCAACTCTTCATGCAAATGGTAAGTTCCTGAATTAATAACTATGACACCCGTCATGATAGGAAACTGAATTTTCAAGACAGCGTTGAGGAGCGGATGATGAATATATTAAAAAATAATTAGGGAATTTCACCGAGTTAATCATGAATAACAGGGTGATTTCAAAAAACACGATTTTTTGTCATTTTCATCATCGAAAATCTTCATGATCACCCTATATATCACAACGAAATCATGTTCATACGGTATCAGCTATCTTACAAGGTTAACAATTCACTCGAATATACAGGATGTGTATGAATAAATCGGTCTTAGGTGTCACCAATTTTTCAAATCACCCTGTATGAAATGTATGAATTGTGATTCATGATGGAATGAGAATAGTTTATTGCATGCCTAAATTATTTTTTCGATATTTCATTATTACATCGAATTTCCAGACATCACTGAAATGTTTATATGTTTCACTCTGTAAACAATTACATCATCTGAACCATCTGAACTATGTTGAGTAATATGGAGGTTCGTTAATGATATGAGCGAAGAAAATTGTACTTGGCATCTTTGAATTTCGAGAAAATAATTAAATGAAAAATACCGATTTGTAACTTCAACGCCCTGTATCTCAGAATCTGTTCATCAAAGAACTTTACGATTCTGCAGGTTCAATCAGTTCATCGAATTCTACAACATACTGAAAATTCAGAAAATTTCACCGAGAACCATTTTACGTACTAAAAGTGCGGGGTCCTTTAATAAGGAAATCATCAAATATTACACAGCCATCAAATTCGGTGGGATATTCCTTGATGAACATTTGTCATGGTCCAAACATTGAATCGATCAGAAAGAAAATATCTCCAGTAATCGGAGTACTCTGCAGGATCATATACCAAATCACTTTGAAATACCTAAAATGTATATATTATTTTTCTTTGATTTATCCTACTAAATAGAATTCCTGGCCTCATTGCTCCCATAAGGGTGATTCATATTAGTAGTGTAAATAATCAAGGCTAAAACTAGAATAGAATGATAATGAATATATTTGTTGAAAATGTTCACTCCCATGGAAATGGTTGGATGAATATTTTCGTGGATAGTGGGGATGAAAAAGAAAATATTATTTCTCCTATGGTTGCGGAATAATGAAACTTCCTGTATAGCTAACGGATGGACCTCTTTTTCGTGGAGACCTTGTATAAAACGTACATTAATATTAATAGTTATCGAGAAATAACTGAAAGTTGATTTGAAATTAGCATTATCATACATGAATAGTTTCAGATGAAAATATCTATCCATGAATTCACTAGGTTATAATCTATTCTTTTAACGATGGCAATTTAAGAACATTATTTTTTTCTCAGATCAGAAAGTGAAGTTTTCGCAAAAAAATGTCAGCCAAAATTCGATATGCTCCAGTCGAAGTAGCCGATTTAGTTTGAAAATTACAGCAAAAGTATGTATTTCACATCGAGTGTGTTTGTTTTGTTACAGCTTTGAATGCTTGGAAAAAAATACTTGATATCTGCTATTATTTTTTACAATTTCTCTCTTTCAAATGGGAGAAGAATCCAAAGGAGTCAAATCTCGAGAACGTGTTGGAAAAGACGGATTAACTCCTCCACTGAAATATGAACCTCACTTTTCAGTTTTTCTTTGTTAGCATTGCGCCGGGATTGGCGCAGTGGAAGAGCGTCCGTCTCACGACCGCAAGGTCGTGGGTTCGATTTCCAGCACGGGCAAGGAACTTTTTTCAATATTTTATTTACGAATTAAATATTGTAAAGTTTCGGAGCATCGGCTGGGGATAGTCCTGCACGATTCGCTGTTGCGTTCCAATCAACAGTGCTGCTCCTAAAGTGGCGCATGGAGTTAGTAACAAAGCCTACACAGAACACGCAGAAAGATATGATGATGTGGTTGTGAGCATCAGAGAAGAAGTAGGACGGTGTATGTAGGTGGGTGTGGAAAACTACCAGCTGAGCGTGAGAGCGGGCCAGCTGCTTAAGTAGACCTCGGTCTCGGGGGTTAACGATGATAGTTAGCAGGCCTGCCACTGCGCATATGGTAGTGAGTACATAACTAGCCTACAAAACACAGCTGAAAAACTCTGGAAAGAGAGCTGATGGGCGGTGCCTGAAAAGGATGTTAGCCAGCTCTCTTGAGCGAACCACATCAGTCATTGAAAACACTTGGGGTTTGCAAAAAGGTCCCATTGGGGACTAGTTGCTGACGTGGAAACGTCCCCCACCAGTACCAGTACCAGTTGTTAGCATTGCGCTCTCTCACCTCACCTCGCGCAGCCATGAAGCTCGTTAATGTCGTAACTCTGTTAAGAGCTGGCAAAAATATTTCAACGGTAAACGATCTTTTATAGAAACCCCAATTTCGTGTTGCATTATTATTAATATTTTTAAAAATTGAGAAAAAAATATCACCTGTCCGTTTTACGCGTTTGTGAAATCTCTAGCGCCATCACCTGTGATTCGCTTCATTGCAGGAGATGTGGCAGAATCTTCTGCGCCGACTGCTCCGAGAACAGCACGCCCCTTCCCTCGGAGGACCACTACAATCCGGTGAGGGTGTGCACCAACTGTTATTCGGAGATGCAGCACGACTGCGTCGAAATTCCTAACCAATGCAAGCACACTAACAACCAACCGTCGACGGCCAATACCCAGATCGCAGCTTCAAGTAACTAAATTATTATTGTTCATTGAGAGTTATTCGGGGAGGATGCTCGAATTGTTCTAGTTATCTGATCATTACGTCACGGGGAGTGGGAACGAAAATTCTGGATGAAAGTAATGTACAGTGTGTCCAGTTTTCGATGCTTTTGCATGATATCTCAGTTATCTTTGGAGATAGAAACTCAAGATGGCCTAATCAGATTTTGCAGGACTGTTTCCGTTTATGAGATACAGGGCGATTTTGAAAATTTATACTTTTTGGACCCCCTCTATATCTACGAAGTTTATCAGCGAAAATGTCAAATTAAAATCTTAACCCATAGAGAATTTTATGCAGAATTCAGTGGCGCACAAATTTTTTTTTTCGGGGTGTGGTTTTGAAAATACGACTAAAACATATGATTTTTTAAATTGAACACCCTGTATTTTATAGGCTCATTAAATTCCTTATTTTTTTTCCTTCGAAATGATATATGATATATGAATATAACATTTTCATAAATGTTCAAAATTCACTAAAACATTGAATTTTAATAGTGGGCTATGGGTTTTTCGAGGGATTTTCATATAAAGAAATTTACAATAATTGAAGGAATATTTCCTTTGATTGTTCCATGAAGGGGGAAATAACAATTTCAACACTAATTAACTTACAATACACAAAAGATTCAGATACTTGATATCCACAAATATATAGTAATGAAAAGTTTATAATGTAGAATAAGCACCTGATTGAATATTTACTAAAACAATTGAATTTCGAAATTATTCAGTGATTCATTCATTGAATTGTTCAAATTGATGTCCATTTTTCATCACGAACTTTCTCAATACATATTAATCATTGAATGATGTCTTTGTAATTCCTGGAAAACTGCCCCTGTTGTTGCACAAAGTTCTTCAAGTATGTTGGGCCACTCACTGTATTAAGAAGTATTGAGAAAGTTTATCAACTGTATGTAGGGGAAAATAGATATCAATTTGAACATGTCAATGAATAAGTTACTGAATAATTCCGGAATTCAATTATTTTAGTAAATATTTAATCAGGTGCTTATTCTACATTATAAACTTTTTATTACTATTTATTTGCTGCTATCAGGTACCCAATTTTAGTGTTTTGTTAATTAATAAGTGTTGATATTGGTTTTGACCTCTCCATGGAAAAATTTAAAGCAATATTTCTTCAATTGGAACGTTTTTCATAAGAAAAATCCATCCATCCAACTATCAAAATTCAATATTTTAGTGATTTTGAGCAATTTTGAGAATGTTATATACATTCGTTATATATCATTTTGAAGACAAAAAAATAAGGAATTTAATGAGCTTATGAAATAAAGGGTGTTCCATTTAAAAAATCATAAGTTTGAGTCGTATCTCCAAAACCATACCCCGAAAAAAAAATTTAAGTGAGCCACTGGATCATGCGTGAAATTCTCTATGCGATGAGATTTTGATTTTACATTTTTGTTGAGAAACTTCGTGGATATAGAGGGGGTACAAAAAGTATAAATTTTCAAAATCGCCCTGTATCTCATAAACGGAAACAGTCCTGCAAAATCTAATTAGGCCATCTTGAGTTTCACAAAAAAGTGGCACAGGACCGCGAAAACCCCAAGGTTCTATCTCCAAAGATAACTGAGATATCAGGCAAAAGCATCGAAAACTGGACACACTGTACACAGCCTGTTTCAAGTTTTTTATTTAGAATATCCAAGGTTTTTACCAGAACTCATGATTACGCTACTGGACAAAATTGTTTAGCCATAAATGACATTATGTACTGACAGTATAGTTAACCAATTGTTATTCGGAGATGCAGCACGACTGCGTCGAAATTCCCAAGCAGTGCAAGCACACTGAAGGCGGCTGCATAATTTCCCGGGATCGAGAACGTGAACGGGAACGGGAATGAGAACTGAAATATTCATCAGATGCATAACGAGAACAAGAACGGAAACAGTAGTAGATTTTTGAACTTTTTTTTAGATATTTATTTTTTCAAACTGTCAAATTCCGGGGAGGATAATCAATTCGTTCTAGTCATTTGAACATTACGTCACGGGGAGTGGGGACGAAAATTCTGCATGAAAGTAATGTACAGTGTACACAGCCTGTTTCAAGTTTTTTATATGGAATACCCAAGGTTTCACGAGAACTGATGATTACGCTACTTGACAACATTGTTTTGCCATAAATGAAATTGATATGTATTGACAGTATAATTAACCAACTGTTCTTCGGAGATGCAGCACGACTGCGTCGAAATTCCCAACCAGTGCAAGCACACTGATGGCGACTGCACAATTTCCCGGGAACGAGAACGGAAACAAGAACCGAAATATTTATCAGATGCACAAATAACGAGAACGGAAGCACTAGGTATTTTTGAAACTTTTTTGAGATATTTATTTTTCAAAACACTGTCAGCTACGTGTTGATAACAAACTCCCGTGTTACAATAGTTTTTATAATGGATGTTATTTTAGTGATGAGATGTTGGAGTTATATATGTATCCAATATCTGTGCTGTGATTGCAACGGAACGGAAAGTTGAAACTTAGACAACTTTCTAGTTCTCGTTCCCGGAAATTTGTTGTGCATGGGTAAATTGAAATATGTGTAGCTCAATTTTTTTCGTTCTCGTTCTCGTTGCCGTTCTCGTTCCCGAGCAATTGTGCAGCCGCCTTAACAACTAACCGTCGACCGCTAATACCCGGATCGCAGCTTCAAGTAACTGAATTATTATTATTATTCTTTGAGAGTTATTCGGGAAGGATGATCGATTCGTTCTAGTCATCTGATCCAAGTTGGGTCTTATCGCATATATTTTTTTATGTAATACCCAAGGTTTTACTGGAACTGATGATTTCACTACTGGACAAAATTTTTTACCCATAAATGGAATCGACAGAACCTATAGTTAACCTTACGTTAGATTTTTCATTATTCCATGAAAGCGAAGAATAGATAAAGATAAAGTCCTGTTCTCAACAATCAATAAAGGTTTGAAAGGCTTACTATAGTTGAAAGGGTTACAAGAAATGGTAGCAAACTTTCTGAAGAACTGTATTCTTCCACTGAGACTATCCTTCATAAAGTATTTTCAATTTCAATTGCAGAATGAACAAGTTTTGCAGTCTTGACTCGGTATCCTCTGAGCAGTATTGGCGTAGATAACTAATAATATGCTTCCATTTACAATTCTTACTATGATTGCATCATCAGGTCGCTGAATATTTTTCTCTTTACGGCAATCAAATATATTTGAAATAACTTGTTGGGTTTGTGTAATCTCATTCTCCCATGGCCGAAAAAATGCCATATTTTTCGATAAAACACAACAGAACCAAACGCACACCTAATACCACCGTGAGACGCCAATAGCTTCCAATTTATTCAGACCCATTTTTAACTAGTTTTCTATGAGTATTCTACTTAAAGCTCGCTCATTGGCTTGAGCCTGCTTGCACTCCGTCATCTGCTTCAGATGTTGACAGCTGTTAGTCAGTCCACGTGGACTATCGGTAATCTTTTGTGGTGATGGAGAATGTTTACGAGCAGTACACATTATTTTTCGTTTCATTACTCCGCATATACGCACCTGTTGGCGGAGTTTTTGATTTGCTCCTCATAATGGTAGCTTTTGCAATTGAAAATGGATAGACTACCATTTTGCATAATATACAGAGTGGGCCTTTGAAAACGAAACAGAGGCTCTGTAGGTCGCCAAAACCGGATTATGAAAAGAATCTGAAACACGTCAACTACGTTTTCGAGGGGGACATCGTCCTACAATATTTTCAGCCCTGCGGCGTTGCCGCTGCTAACGAAAAGAAGCAACAACTTTGTTATTTCAAATGGAACACCTTGTATTTCATTGCATTTTTAGATTCTCCCCGAAGAGCTGATTTCATCAATGCATCACACTTGGGGTCTAGCTGTAATGGTTTCAGAGATATAAAGTGTTCAAAATCGAGATTTTTCAACTTTGACATTTTTTTGTGTCGAAACTATTCATTATTGGTCGAAACGGCTCTCATGTCCCTATCTCAACTTGTGATTTACTATCTACTGACATTTAATTGGAACAGATATAGGGTGATCAGAATTCTGAATCTTGAACCACCCTGTATTTGTTTCAAATAAATGTCAGTAGATAGTAAATCACAAGTTGAGATCGGGACATGAGAGCCGTTTTGACCAATAATGAATAGTTTCGACACAAAAAAATGTTAAAGTTGAAAAATCTCGATTTTGAACACTTTATATCCCTGAAACCATTACAGCTAGACCCTAAGTGTGATGCATTGATGAAATCAGCTCTTCGGGGAGAATCTAAAAATGCAATAAAATACAAGGTGTTCCATTTGAAATAACAAAGTTGTTGCTTCTTTTCTTTAGAAGCGGCAACGCCGCAGGGCTGAAAATATTTTAGAAAGATGTCCCCCTCGAAAATGTAGTTGACCTGTTTCAGTTTTTTTTGATAATCCGGTTTTGGCAACCTACAGAGCCTCTGTTTCGTTTTCAAAGGCCCACTCTGTATATCTCAGATGTCAGTGCTACAGGACGTGTCATCTTTCGAATCGTCACCAAACCAGACTGTCGAACTCTCGAAAAAAAAAATCTCATTTTGTTCTCCAACGAAATCTGGAACGAAGGATCTCCCATCATCGAATCCATGTCGAAAAAAGTGGACAGGATGATGAAAGAAAATCCGGCGTACGCGAATGGGGAAGACCACTGAGGGAAGAAATCCGTGCAAACTCCTTTCAATCGACGAATCATGATTTACGTTTGATGTACAATCAATATCATGAGTTTAAGTTGCAGAGAATCGAATCAATAGCGTTTTGAAATCAGCATATTTCATTCGATATTTCAAAAAGCCGAATATGAAGGTGGAGCCGTGACGTATTAGTCCCGACTGTAGTTATCTCTCTCTGATACCTCGCCATTCTGCAGTGTTGCAGTGTGATGGGTCACACCAATGAATTGACA